TAGATGGATGTTGGTTGGATGATGGTTGGATGTTGGTTGGATAGATGATGGATGGATGATGGATGGCTGTTGGTTAGATGGATGTTGGTTGGATGTTGGATGGATGTTGGTTGGATGGATTATGGTGCACAGTCATTGCTGCACCCCTGCAGTCATTTTGTCGAACACGTATCGCTTTCGTGCCGTCACCGTTTCATCCTCGACGCTGTGATTTCTGTCCTCTCTCTCTCCTGTGGGCGTTTGGGTTCGGCTGCTCTCTCTTGCTCTCCTCCCACGTTCACACTCTCTGTGTTCTCGCCATCGCTCTGCTACCCCGTGATCTGCGCTGCACATGCTCCACGCCGTTGAATAATCAGAGTAATGAGTACAGGTTTCAGCTTCAGTGCGGCACTGTGTAAAAACTCATTTACGTGTGTGTCAGCTGACATGAAAGATAAGCGCCACCTACCACCTACCCCCCCCCCCCCCCCTTAAATCTGGGACATACAGCTGTTATAGAGGCGGGGCCAGGGCGTTACAAACTGGAACTGAATAAACTGAACTCGGATCAGCTCTGTGTTAATTTCACCTCTTCTGTCCGAAACAAGCTGTTCTTGCTCCTCCTCCACCAAACTCTCCTCTGATTGGCTGCCCATCAGTGTGCTTCCTGTTTGCCCACTTTCATCAATGTTTTAATGCAAATATGTTTCAGATACTCTGAGAATCACTGAAATAAGTTCTTGTTTTATTCTCGATGTTTGTCTCTGGAAACATCTGGAAGCTTATTTCACATTTTTAAAAAATCAATTAATGAATTAAAAATGGACATTATGTTGCAAACACAATAATCACATTATTGATCAGTGTTTAACATGAATGTATCATTTTGAGCTGACGTGTTACATGGAGTACTCCTGTTAGTACTGCAGCTGATTACTTCAGTCAAACCTCCATCATCGGTGGATTATTGATCGGTGATCAGTAGTAAGCATGAAGCTCTCATCCTGTTTCGTTTTTTTTCTTCTCTCACATTTCCCTCTTCATCCTCCCACTGTCGACAACGTGGTGTCGCTATGGCAACCGCCTGCAGAGAGGCGGATCGACACAGGCCACGCCCACTGCAGCATGCTTGTCACACACACAGCAGTGTATTTTTGGAGATGTGACCACAGGTTTTGGCTGTTTCAGCAGCTTTAATTACAGCTGTAACTGCAGCAGCTGCTTCACCTCCACACTCACACACACACCCTCCTTTTCTGTGTGTGTGTGTGTGTGTGTGTGTGTGTGTGTGTGTGTGTGTGCTGAAATCTCTGTGCAGCAGACTGGAGACGAGCTAAATGTAGGCCACGAGGACGTGTTAGCCTCAGAGCGGCTCGCTCAGAAACCAGACATAAAGATTTATTCATATGTATCCGTTTCACACACACATGAGTGTCAGAGATAATAAAAATATCCACGTCTGTGTTTCCTCCAGCTCACTAAATCAAAGCGAGCGTGATGACATTATGATTATTATCAGAGTTCTGCAGCAGAGTTTCATGTGCGCCTCTCCAGATCTGGTTGTCATCGCTGTGTTTCCCTTTGTTTTATCATTTATCGTTGTTTTTGTTTGGAAAAAACGTTTGTTGATGAAAAGACAAAAATGATAAGAACACTCATTGGTTACGTCAACTCGTGATGTCATCCCCCTGTTAAAAATGCAGCGGTCCATAAAAGCTGGACGCAGGTCTAAAAAATTGATGCCTTAAACCTGCGGTCTGTCTGACGTCCAGCAGGGGGCGACTCCTGAGAGTTCCTCTGGATTAGCATTGCTGCACACGGCGTCTACCTCAAACCCGTTTCCCTCAGCCCCGCCCCCGTGACGTTGGTCGGGCCTCTGAGCGTGTGTGCGGATGTCGTGCTTCTCTCCTGGCTGCAGACCTGTGTTGTGTTCAGGGACAGTCTGTACAGATAATCTCTGTGTGTTTGTGTCTCTGTGCAGAAACGCTCCTGGATGACTTTATGTTGACACATCCCATCTTCCTGGCGGCGGACAGGCTCCAGCAGGTCCTGCTGCAGCAGTATCCTTCACGCGCTCACAGGCATGCGTGCCTGGCTGTCGAGCGGTCGCCTCGCAGCGTTATCTGCTGCGGGTTCTGCAGGTTTGTGTCTGAACAGCTCCGGTGTTGTTTTGTTTCGTTTCTGCAGCGTTCCCACGTTGTTGGCATTCCAGTGACAGGAATGGGAAGTTTTCTGCTTCAGTGGAAAAACAAAACCTGGCTGGCAGACTTCCATGAAACCTCCATGATGTCATTGTTTTACCCATAATGACCTCTGACCTCAGCGGTTTTATCACCACGCCTTTGAGTTTGTAGATCCCAGGAACGGACGAATCGTGCTGTGACGCCTTTACAGATATCAGCTGTGATTCTGTCACCAGAGCGTCGAGTGCTGCGGACCAATCGCGCTTCAGCAGGTCAACGTCAGCGCTTAGAACAGGAAGTCCTGAAAACCCGTGGGCGTACACACAGGAAGAGACCGTCATCACTGACTGAACTACCTCAATCTCCTCAGCCACTGAGCGCGCTCTGTAGCATCCAACAGGAACAAGACTCAGACCTGAAACTGATCTCAGATCAGCTGAGCAGGACGCTCACATCTCATCTTCACCGTCAGCTCTTCGTCCTCTAACCCAAAAATGAATAAAGAGCACGTTTAATGACCGGTGCAGCAGCTCGACACTCGCAGCGCAGAAAAGCAGATTTCTGCTGCAGCCGCAGATCTGCCACAGAGAGCGATGAAGAGCTGAGAGGAAGAGGAGCAGAGGGGGGTGTGGCCGAAAGAAGAAAGGGAAGGACAGGTGAAGAGAGAGCTCCATGTTCAAGAACACGTGACGTTCAGGGACTCGTTCAGGAAGGGGTGAAGGGATCAGACGGGGGGCCGGGCACATTTAGCCTTCTTCGTGGACAGAGCCGTGATCAGAGAAATGGCGCTCGTCAGGCCTTCAGTCTCGCCGCGTTGAACAGTCGTGATGATTCACCACAAGCGTCGCTCACAGCTCAGCTGCTTTTAACTTTTCTCAGCTCTGCACTTCCTGCGTGCATTCCCAGGGGATCATGGGAACTGTAGTTCTGTTTTCATAAAGAGGATAAAAAACAAAAAGCAGCATCATCGGCCAATCGGAGGAGAGGAAAAAAAGAGTCTGTGTGAGGCAGATGTTTGTGTGTGCGTGTGGTGATATGTGGGTCATCATGGCGGCGTCTCCAAGCTGCAGCTCTGTGAAGCTGAAACAGCTGATTATGGGTTTGTGCTGGCAGCTGTTTGTTTGTGACGACAGCAACAATCACCTGTAAGATTTGGTTTCAGAGCGAAGCTTCAGGCGAATGTGTTTCCTCCTTAACTTGACTTTTCCAGATTCAGCCTGGAGGGAGATGGAGGAGGGAAGAAAGGGGAGGCGGAGGGGTGGAGGAGAGAGGGAGGAGGGAGAGGAAGAGGGGAGGAGAGGGACGGAGAGATGGAGGGAGCAGAGAGGAAGCAGGCGGTGCTGACGGTGGCGTTTCGATACCTGGACACCTACAGAGAGCTGCTGCAGGAGGAGGGCGAGCGCAGCAACAGCTTCCCCAAGGTTACACACACACACACACAC